AGGTGTTAAAAAGCCCTGTCAACAGAGCCTCCTGCAAGGACCCCAGTAGTTATCTTCATCCACTGCTTTGCTTGCGTTTAACTTCCTTACTTCATTATTGACTAAACTCGAGTTTGTCTCTTTGAATAAGCCTTTTCCGAGTTGCTTTTTGCCCCTGTGTCAAAATGAGTTTTCGTCCAAAACCATTCATATGAAAATGTTCTCCTCCTACAGGCTCATTTTCATGCAAATTAAACTCATTTTCATATGAAAGGTTTTGCCCGAGGACTCGTTTTGAAACAGAGACACAAAGTAACACAGAGACGGCCTACTGAAAATGAGACTCGTGGTAAGAATGACCCATACCCTCCACGCTTTGATGATTGTTGAAATCTTGTTCGTCCAGTTTTAACACATGTTCTCCTCCAATATCGTTTTTGCCATTGTGGAAGAATAGTCAGCCATCTTCCCCGCTACAGTCTGCTGATCTTTTACGATACTCTTGTTGACTCTTCAGGAAATTGTTGTAGCCTTCCCTATGAACGCAGACATTGGTTAGAGGCCTTGAAGAAATGTCCGGGTCTCTTTTTAACTCTTGCAACTTTTGTTTTCTATAATTTTTGGTAGCTCTTCTTCTTTCGCTGGTGGTAATCAAAGTTTCTTCATTTTCTCTCCAGCTCCAAATTTCGAAGGAAGGATTTGGGCGTAAAATGTGGCATGGTTCTTTTCTCTTTGATCTAAGATGTTGAAATTTCACCCCAACAAGCGACGAACCTTTAATTTCTCCTTACCATTTCAGTGCAATATCAAGTAGCAATGAGAAAATAAAATCATCAATTAGCAAAATATTGTTTTGATGCCTCACCAAATTCTCATAACTATCAGTAAAGGAAATAATTGGGAATCTATAAGGAGAAGGTATATTTCCATCTAATTGTGGTCTCACTGTTAAACAGCAGCTCAGATGAATTACAGTCACTCTAAGATATGGAGGTCTAAAGTTTATGCCTTAAGGTTTGTGAGTTTTACATGAATTGTAAACGAACAAAATAACCAGTCGAAGGTGTTTGCCTCATTTTCATTGAAATAAATTACATTATTCAGAGAGGAAGCCTGATCAGCTTTAGCTGGTTTTCACGCAGGTCCTCTATTGCAAGTATTCCTCATCTATCCAGGATTTTGTGTCAATTTTGCATTTTACAAATTAACAATACATTTGGTAGTCACCCTGTATTATAAAAGCAATATTTGAGAATGACGTAGATTGATTTCGTGTGTCCAGAGTGCTTTTAAAAGTTGCGAGAAAAAACAAATACAAAACCAAGATGCGGGTTTAAGTGTCCTAAAACGTAAACCGTGAAATTGAATGAGACTAATAAGGAGGACTCCACTTTTAAATATTGGTTATAACCAGAAAACATGCCTGTCTCTCAGTTTTATTGAAATCTTTAATTAACTGTGCGCGCCGTTTGTCTTGACAGCCTTTGTTTAACCAAGACGGTGGTCATTAAATATTCCGTGGCTCGTATGCAAATTTACAACAGTACCAGATACATGTTCCTAAATCACTGTCTGTATTTGAATATTCATCCACTCCCGTTGTACCCGATTGCTATTGTGTTATTGCAAGGGGGATTCCCTGGTCCTCTTTGTGATTGGTTAGTGTACACTGAAGGATGCGACATCAGTTTAAGTGCAATCTGATTGAAACGTTGGATTGTGCGTGTACAATGTATTCGCGCGCGTGAGATAGTGGGTCAAG